CCTAACCCTAACCCTAACCCTAACCCTAACCCTAACCCTAACCCTAACCCTAACCCTAACCCTAACCCTAACCCTAACCCTAACCCTAACCCTAACCCTAACCCTAACCCTAACCCTAACCTAACCCTAACCCTAACCCTAACCTTAACCCCTAAGCGGCGCACACCTGAGTAAGCCTCGCTGGATGGACTCACGCTCACGCGGTTTGAAAGGCAAGTCCACTTTCCTCAAAAATGGGATAATCAAGGGGCAGGATGTAGCCCGGCATATTGCAGCTACCCTGCGTCAGCATGATATTAAAGCAGACGCATCTTCCCGTCGTGGATCCCGCACTCAAGGGCACGGACATGGCCGTGGCACCAAACGGAGGCTCTCTCAGCTTGAGGAAGATGCGCAGCTGCCGCAACCTTCCTCCTCGATCCAGATCAATGACGTGTCTGTCCTCAATAACCTACTGCCGATGCCGCAAGAACCGGTGCCTGATGATGGTACGCGCGAACATGAGTCCCCCAATGTTTCCTCATTTACGCAGGAACCAGCAATGTCTCCAGCCCATGACGGGACAACATCTCCTGGGACGACATCGCCTGGTACTAATGACCCCTTCGAGGGAGCTCTCACTCCGCTGGGTAGTGAACTCGCTCTCCCAACCTTTGGCAACCCCAGACATGAGGATTGTGCTCCTGAAGTCTCCCCAAATACGTCTGAGCATGCTGACGCGACCCTGGATCAACCTGAAGGACATGATTCAACAGATACCATGACACTACCTTCCTTAATTGATGGTTTGGAGGGACCGCAGTTCCCCCCCGGTACTGAACAGGTCACTTGGGCAAACGGGGTCCGATCATTCCTTCCTTGGGCCTTTGTGGAAGGTAAATACACCCAGGTACGTCTTATGGAATCGACGCAGACCCATATTCACTCAATTTGGTCATAGGATATTGATGTCGCCCGTGCAATGGCCACCGCACCTGACGCTCTAAACCCGGCTGATGGCGGCGAGCCATTAGTCTATACCCTGGACATTCAGTCCATGTGTCAAGACAGCATTCATCCTTCTACGGAGGATTCGATCACAGTGGTGGGCCTCATCAAGGAGAAGCTCTCCAAGGGTATTCCGGTCCTCGTGCGCGGGTTCAAACTTCCTGGTACACAATATAAGTTTGATCGTCGTTCATTGGAGTTATGTAAAGGTTCTCTTCGCAATACAGTCGAGTACCAAGGTTCGATTTCTCTGTATCCTAAGTCCTTGAGTCCTGATATTGGCGTTGATGCGCATTGTAGATGCTAAAAAGCGAATGGAGTATGACCTGAAGCATGCTCGGCTGGTCAAGGAGAGGAAGGCCACAGCGGAATTCCTTGCCACACCACCCGTCGTCCATAGTGAAAATACTTTAGGGGAATTCATTGACATGGCTACAAGGCCCGGTACCCAACGTCGCCCCAAAGTTTGCGGTAATCTGCTGGACTCATATGCACCCAGCCATGTGGGAACTCCTTGGTTCATTGCGTACGCTACTCCGTCTCGCTGGCTTTCTTTGGAGTGCACTGACATTTACTCCCCAGCGCATTAAATGAGCAGTACCTCGCGATGTATCAAAATCGCATGACCGACTTTGCATTCCCGCCGCCAGACACTGAAGAGGCCCGCAAACTCCTCGAGCAGGCGGCAAGGATAGCTGGCCCACAGTTACTGCACCCTGATACCTTTCAGTTGGTCATGTGGGACCTGCTCACGCACGCCGGATTTGTCTCGCACACCCACCACGATGCAGGTGGCGCGGCAACGTGGATGGCGATCAGAGATGGAGTGAAGTTCTGGACTCTGTTGAAAGTCCGCACTGAAGGTTTGAAAACCCGAAAGGCCGTGCAAGACCGATTTGACACAGCTGCCAAAACGAGTTTGCACCAACTGGTCAATGATTGCAACATGGTGGAATGGATCGGCACCGTTTGTCTCGTACCAGGAGATGTCCTGTAAGTCTTCCACTGATTTCTGGATGGCCAATTGCTGATTCTGGGATGTAGCATCCAACCCCCCAATATTATGCATTGCGTATACACCCCCATCAAGACACTGGCCACGGGTGGCCACTTTTATTGCTACAACCTCTGTCATTTGACCGAGTTATCGTGTGACATCGACAGGTTATATGGAGATGTCACTACCAATCAGTCTCATCCCGCCACCCAACGATTGATCCACAACCTCGCACTGGCTCTGCCCAACCTTGCAGATAAGACTCTCCCCAGAGTCCCCTTCTTGGCTCTCGCACTGATGGTCCTTGACTCCAAGACGTATGAAGCACCAACAAAGGGGTTAGGCTCTGCTCAATATTATCCCGATGGCCGGTACCATCGCGAGGTCGCAGGCGAAACCGCATACGCTCAACAGGTGGTTACCGCTGTGCTGAAGGGGAATCGCATCACGTCAGATGTCAACAAGATACGAGAGATGGTTCACAAACGTCTGGGCGGTGAGCTTCTGGATCCTGGCAAGTCTCGCATCAATCTCTCTTGTCTGAAGAAGTTCGTGTTTGTGGAGATCAAACGCCCAAAGACGTTGTAGTACATGGCACAGCATCTCTATTGTGACATCTAGACACAAGTAGGCTACTTCAGATGCAACTACTTCCCTGACGAGTTTATCTCGCTTTGCCTCCCCCACGCGCTGATGCTTTCTAATAACTTTCATCTACGCAATCAAATAACACACTGTCTGCAGGTTTATATGCCTTAATGAACCCAACCTAGTATATCCCAAAAGGCACGAAAAGGTGAAAGGGAAACTTACCTGAAGCCATCGAACTAAGTCTTGCACGATTATCCATGCTGCAGCCCGGCTGCACCGTATTTCCATAAATGGCACTTTTGTGCAGCCGGGCTGTTTGGTGACCACGTAGCTTGTCGTGGTCTCCCCTCCTTGGCCTAGCCTAGGACCTACCCTGTCCTTATCAACCACGCGAGGTTATATTGATAGGCAAGGAATTGAGAGTGGGGAGCGAGGATATCCATCAAGCGAAATCATCAATTGTATATATTACGACAGGAATGGTAGACATTAGCAGCTATAGTATACATCATCAAACCGAGGAGGGCGTGAAGTGAGATAGCTTCGGCAGCATTGCGACTCCTGTCCTCCATCTCTTCCTGTTGTGAGCATCAGAGGCAGCTTGGCCATGTTCTTTTTTGAAGACGGATGCCGGCTGAAATCCCAGCTCAGCCCACCGGAAAAGGGCGCCTGTGGACCACTGCACAAAAGAATATCGAGTCTCACCCGGCTGCACTGGTAAATTTGAGTGGCGAACGAGGGCTGATGGGATGAATATCGTTGAACCTGGGGGGAATTGGACTACAAGGCCCAAGTCCCAGAGAACAAGATGACCCCCCTTGCGCGGGTCAAAGTGCCCCAGTGCGGTTATTGAACACCACCCAAACGGGCAGTTGAGGTGATCGCGATGACGGTATGTACAAACTTGCTTGCCCATGTTGAAGCAGCAAGACGCCCATGGACTGAACTCAAAAGGAGTTCTGAGACGAGGATCGCGGTCCTTTAGATCTTGAAGCATCGTGCCATAGTAGTCATGGAGTTCTGGCCCGGTGAGAGCAAATGCGCCTACGTGTAATACAAATAAGCCCACAGTCTCATCAGAGTGGTATTGACGCGCCTGCAGTGAAACGCCCTAGTCTTTTGACTGAAGGGTCTCGGATGAGCCTTGAG